GTACCTATAAATATTTTTGTTAACATATAGAATTTTATAGAACGATCGAAAAATAAAATAAAAAATATATTATGCTAAAAACATAATTTTCAATTTTTAATAAGTTTTGTTTCTATTTAAGTTAAATAAGAACATCTTAATTAACAAGGAAAACATTAAAAGTTAATAAATAAACATGTTTTATATTAAAGTTAAATTATAAAGTAACAAAAGATTATAAACTCTGAATTATCGGAACTACAACTTAAATAAAATCAGATGCAAGGTAACGTTTAAAATTTAAACTAGTTATATTAATATTAAACTTATTTTATTATTTTTTAATTAAAATATTAATTTTAAAATAGCTATAGGAAACTACAAGTAATTATATTAAACCAATTTTAGTTATTAGTCAAGCTTTAAAAGTTATTAATTATCAGTCTAAAATATCCTCCATTCTCTTTTTTTATAAATATTAAATGACACAATTTTAAGAGTTATTATTATTTCAAATGTGAAATAGAATTTAAAACTTGAATCTATAAATATTTATGAGTTTAGTTTCCTATTCACAAATAATTGTTCATATAACTTCGAATCATATAAAATTATTTTTAAATTTTATATGATAATTTTTATTTTATTATTGTATGTTTTGATTTAATAAAAATATTTAAAAGTGATTGAGGTTAATGTAAACCGATCTTTAAAAAATAGGTTCAGTTACATAAAATTATAACCTAAATATTTTATTTATTTTAATTTTAAAACATCTGTTCATATGTATGTATGTGTGTGTGTATATATATATATATATATAACCCAACTACGTATCATCAATTATTGATCATGTTAGTTGAAGACTTAACGTCACCCATTAACTCAATTAATCATTATTCTAAAATTATATATTATTGTAGTATTTAGATTATTTAGTTATCGTTATACTACATATCTTAATAAAATATTTATATTGAATTAATTTTTAAAAATACTTTTGTTTAAGAATATAATTATATTTAATTTTAAAATTTAAAATTTAAAATTTATATCCTAATCGTTTTACATAACATGAATATGAAATTTATGATTTTTAATAATATTTATAATAGAATTATAAAGGAAATTTGATTAGGCTTTTTCTAAGAATTTTCTTAATCTGATTATCTTTAAATGATAAATTATAATTTATTATTATTATTATTATTATTATTATTAGAAAATAATTACAATTATTGAAATTGAAATTTTAAACTGTAATTATAACATCATAAAAGCGTGTATTGGCCCTAAAAAATATAGTAAATGGATAGCGTAGGAAAATACATTTTTAACTATTTTTTATTATTATCTTGTTTGTTTAGATAAAAATTTAATAATAAAATAGAGAATAATTCTCTCCAATTAAGACTAAAGGATACGTTATAGACGTTATAAAAAACATCAAATTAATTGAATATTTTTTATAAAAAATAGATATTGAAATTTATACATAATTCATAGCATAAAGATGAATGTGATTTATAAGTCAATCTTTATACCGGCTCATAATAAAATTGTCCATCGTTCATGTTTCAACCATAGAATTTCGCATATTGAAGCATGCAAAAATCAATGTTTATAAAAAATATTCGTAGTTCACACTGCATGATTGTTTTTGTTTTCTTGGAACATCTTGTATGATAAACGTGAGTAAATCTTGAGATCGAAGCATGAAAATTACGTTGAAAATACATATTTATCACGTCTATCACATTTATGATGTAAACAAAAATGTTTACGGTGTATCACATTTATCACATTTGCTTGAAAAGAAAATATTAATATATGATTAAAAATCATTTACCCTTGAATTTTGTAGGATGTATTTAATAAATTAAAACTATAAAATAACTAATAACTTAAATATTAAAAACTACCTGAAGCTTATAACTTATAAGATAAAAATTAAAAATATATGATATAGAATGCGACGACACTCTGTACATGGCAAAGGAAGGATGCGTCTACTTTAATAACATAGAAAAATTATAAGTGTAGGAGATTAATTATCGTACAACATGTTTTTGTATGGTTGAGATTATTTTGGTCGGTTGTTGGAAGTTTAATGAATCACGAATTTGATTTTATATAATAAAAATGGAAACTTGAATCATGCATTTGATCTGAAAGCTGGAAACAGAACAAAAATTAGCCAGTTCAACCACCCCAGTGTCTCTATGGCTATTTATTTCTCTTTTTCCTCAAAAATCTTTGTTTCCTCTTTAGTGGAAATAATTAAAAACAAAAAGTAGTTATGTGAAAGGTCCCCTCGTCACATTCTTTCTCCTTCCATTGCCGACAACAAATAAATTCGTAGGTTAACTAAGTTTTGGAACCTCTTATATCAGTTTTTTTAATAATTTTAATCCATAAAAAATATGTTATTGATTTTTTTTTGTCTAATATCAAGTTCGCTTGTATCAATCGTATTAGAAAATTTACATTAATTAAAAGTATAAATAGATTATAATATAAGAAGATATACAAATTATTTTATAAGTTAATCTTTTAAAACTTTATTTTTTAAAATTAATATGAGAATTTATCTTGAATTTATTAAAAGGATCATTCACCATTATGCAAATACCAAATCTAATAATACTATGTGAGAGAGGATGTTTTGTAGATTTCAAATATTTATTTCTTAACCTAATTTATTTCATATTTTAAGTATCCCCAAAGTTTAAACTCTAAACACCGAATCAAGAAACAAAAACCGGAATAACATATGTGAAGAATATTTATTATACAACATGAATTTGGAGACATATTTGTGAGATTTACCGTAGAGAGAGAGTACAACACGTTTAGAGGGTTGGTACCGCGTATATAGGGCCGTTCAGTGGCAAGTAGCGAGTGGAAGAGGTGTAGTGAACATAATTAGGTTGTACTCTCTTTTCAGTGCCACATCGAACTTAATCTTCTTACACGTCTTCTCCAACTAAGGGTCCCACATTCCTTACACTCTTTCACTATCTTACTACTAATGTACTTCTCTCACATTAATACAACCACCTTCTTTTGACATGTCTACTGTATGTATTTGAGAAGATATGTATTCAGTTTAAAAAAGTTTATGTACGTCAAATCATTGTTATTGTTTTTAGATACGTAGTTGTTATTGTTACATATTCACAATCATTATTATTCTCAATTTTATTATCTTTTATTTGTGTTTTATTATCATTTGTCACCTTAATCACTACTAATGAAACTTATATATCATCCCTCCCCATGCACTTCAAGCATGCAAATAACGATCACAATTTTTTTTTTCACCAGTCGTCATCACTGCGTTTCATTGATGAAGAAGATGTATCATGAAATTTTATATAAATTAAAGAAAATAATATTATATATATTATATAAATAAATATAAATTTTATTTTATTATATCGATTTCATAAAAATTAATTAGGTATCTTAAAATATTAGAACAATAAAATATTATTTTTAAAATAAAAATTAAAAGAAAAATATAATGAAAAAATAATCTTTAATCAAAATCGATTTTATAAATTTAAATTAGATATTTCAAAAGTTTGGGGCAATTTATGTAACATAATACTGGTAATATTTCATCCACACATGTACAGTTCGCTTATTTCTTATCCGTTTTCCAAAGAGATATTAAAACCAAAGACTTCCTCCTTTTTTAAATTTGTATTGTATATTACTAAGTGCTATTGAACCAAATGTGATGACCATTAACGTCACTTTGTTGTAAAATAAACCATTTAAAAAAAAACCCAGTCAATATTATTACTTACTTTTCACAATGAATAATTTGATTCTGCTAAAAAATTTATTGCTTAATTATGATAAAATTGTATCATAAAACTCGTTAATTGTCTATTAAGGATTTTAAATTTTGTATGTTTAACTTATAGTTGTTTTTCTAAAATTAATTTCTTATTACAAAATAAGAAAATAAATTTTAGACTATACATATAAATTACGTACCTATATAAATATCTGGATCAATAATTTATTAACACATCTTTATTATTAGTTATTATTATGAATAATCATAGTATAAGTTATCAAAGATTTCAACAAGCTTCAAAAACAGTACACTAGTATTATTAATTATATATATATATATATATATGTATTAATTTAATGAAAACATAAAAAAGAAAATTTTAAAGATTATAAGATAAATTCTTAATTAAATTAGTAAGTATAAAATATAAATACTTTATTTTAATATAAAAATAGTAAATTTTAGAAAAACAAAAAAGGTAAACATAAAATAAAACTGATAGATATTTGTCTGTGAAATAGTTACTACAGAAATGTAAAATATAAAATGAATTAAAGTCAATATTGGAAAAATAATTCCTAGTAGATGATATGTAATGTGTAAATCTTTGAAGTGTGATTATGTGGAGCAGGATTATCTCCAAAGAAGAATATTTGTAGTGAAGGAAAAAAAGTATATTTGAAAAATAATGATGAAAATATGTAAAATAATAAAAAAGTACTGTGTACACGTGTAAGAATGAAGAGAGAATGGGAACTTAATTTGTACTTGAATACTAAGTTGATGTAAGCGTGTGCATAAAGTCTATGATCTTTGCAGGTAGCTCCCATTGAGTTAACAAAAAAATATCACAAGTGGCATCTTGCTAGCTCTCACTACGACAATTATTACTAATTAATACTGCCTCTGTCTGCGTACCAACTTTGCCTAATTTTCAAACCAAGAACTCTCTCTCTCTCTCATACACTCCTTCGTCTGAACCTTCATTTATTTGGACCATTGTCTCTTAAAAGTCAAGCTCGACTGTGCACTGCATGCTTTAAATACACCTCCTCTCTCCCTTCTCTTCTTCATTGCAACACATTTCCTCTGTAAATTATTCATACCATATTCCTAAGCTCATTCCTAACCACACACACAACACTTCTCTCCCTCACTTGGATTTCATCAAACACTACATACTCTTAAGCACAACATAAACATAGACTATATGGAGTTGAAGGCCATGGACCAAACTCAATTGTTGTCCAAGATGGCCATCGGGGATGGACACGGTGAATCATCCCCTTACTTTGATGGATGGAAGGCTTATGATGAAAACCCCTTTCACCTCACAGATAATCCTAACGGGGTTATCCAAATGGGTCTCGCTGAGAATCAGGTATAAAGCATGTATAGCTTCATTCCACCAAAGTTAATAAGTTATGCTATTTTCAAAATTATCACAATTGCATGAATTTGGAGGAATATATTATATTCACAATAGAATAATGTTATTTTTAATTACAGTTCTAATCTAATTATCTTAAATTTCTGCAGCTTACTTCTGATCTGGTTGAAGATTGGATACTGAACAACCCAGAGGCCTCCATCTGCACCCCAGAAGGAATAAATGGTTTCAGGGCCATAGCTAACTTTCAGGATTATCATGGTCTAGCCGAGTTCATAAATGTGAGTTACAATGGAATGTGAAATTTGATCACAGCACTCACTTTATCCATAAACTGGAAAGTTGAGTTTGAGTAGTGATAATATTTGATACACCTAAACTAAACGTGAGTCGAAATCTTTCACAGGCTGTGGCTAAATTCATGGCTAGAACAAGAGGAAACAGAATTACGTTTGACCCTGACCGTATTGTCATGAGCGGTGGAGCAACTGGAGCACACGAAGTCACTGCCTTTTGCTTGGCAGATCCCGGTGAAGCATTTCTGGTGCCCATTCCCTATTATCCAGGGTAATATATTCCATTCATTTTTCATGTACTTTGTAAATATTTTTCATTACTTTTTTGGGAATAAAAGATAATGGTAATGAAATATGGCTTATGTGTGTCATGACGTCTCGCAAATATTAGAGTATGTTAAATCTCCACTGAAGAAATATTCTTTCTATTAATTTAACGTTCCATTAAGGTGCATGGTAGCCCCACTTAGTGGAATTCTGGATTAGAAACCAGGATAATGAGATTGGATGGCACTACTTTTTTTTTCTCTCCCTTTTATATGGGAATAACTTTGAGTTTCAACCTTCATCAATTGGCAGTAGTCAACTATCATATAAAATAAAAAACTAAACCCTTAAATTAAGGTCAAATTCACACCACAATTGAATAGCAATTTGACCATGAACATTATTTGATTATTCACTGTCACGCCATCACTGCCTTTCTTTTATTCTTCCTATTACAAGATAAAATAAACCAAGAAAACTTGTGATTTCGTGTGATCATAATTTTATTGACATCTACATCTCAATATTTGTTTCTAATAAGAATCTGAATTTCCTAATGCAGTTTTGACCGGGATTTGAGGTGGAGAACAGGAGTTCAACTTGTTCCTGTTATGTGCAATAGCTCAAATAATTTCATGTTGACAAAGGAAGCATTGGAAGATGCTTATGAGAAAGCTGAAAAGGATAACATCAGAGTAAAGGGCTTACTCATCACCAATCCATCAAATCCATTAGGCACGATAATGGACAGAAAGACCCTGAGAACCGTGGTGAGCTTCATCAATGAGAAGCGTATCCACCTTGTATGTGATGAAATTTATGCTGCAACAGTTTTCAGCCACCCTGGTTTCATAAGCATAGCTGAGATACTAGAGGAAGAAACAGACATAGAGTGTGACCGCAACCTCGTTCACATTGTTTATAGTCTTTCAAAGGACATGGGGTTCCCTGGTTTCAGAGTTGGCATCATATACTCTTACAATGATGCTGTGGTTAATTGTGCACGCAAAATGTCAAGCTTTGGATTGGTGTCAACACAGACTCAGTATCTTTTAGCATCAATGCTAAATGATGATGAATTTGTGGAGAGGTTTCTGGCAGAGAGTGCAAAGAGGTTGGCACAAAGGTTCAGGGTTTTCACTGGGGGGTTGGCCAAAGTTGGCATAAAGTGTTTGCAAAGCAATGCTGGTCTCTTTGTGTGGATGGATTTAAGGCACCTTCTCAAGAAGCCAACTTTCGATTCTGAAATGGAGCTTTGGAAAGTGATCATTCATGAGGTTAAGATCAATGTTTCACCTGGCTCTTCTTTCCATTGCACTGAGCCAGGGTGGTTTAGGGTGTGCTATGCCAACATGGATGATATGGCTGTGCAAATTGCTTTGCAAAGAATCCGCACCTTTGTGCTTCAAAACAAGGAGGTCGTGGTTTCTAACAAGAAACATTGTTGGCACAGTAACTTGAGGCTGAGCCTCAAAACCAGAAGGTTTGATGATATCATGATGTCACCTCACTCTCCCTTACCTCAGTCACCTCTGGTTAAGGCCACAAATTGAGTCGGCATGTTTCTCTGAATCGTTTAGAAGAAGTAACTGATATGTGAAGATTAGTTGGTTCTTTGATTTGTTATTTTGTGAAGGCACATAAGTGCTGGATTTGTTCTTTGGAACAACAATAACAGGGGATTCCTGATATTGTTTTTGTGATCAAAATCACAGTCTAGTGTGAAGGATGCCTTGCATCCTAGAACTTGTGCTGCTGGATGCATGCCCCTTGAATCTTAGGGGCATTTTTTCTTTTTTCACTTACCAAAAAATGGGTTCAATGTGAAAAAAGTTTATAGAGTTTGTAAGAGTCCAAAAGATGTCTGTATTATGTTACTGAAATTGTAACTGTCAATTATGAATAAATTGTTAATAAAGGTCTTCAATTCATTTCCATTTTGTACAAAAATATCCTAGTTTTCTCTTCTTCATTTGTCGAAGTCAAAAACTAGATTTTGAATATTGTATGGCAGGAAAAAGATTACTACCTGATAACCATTTGTTGGAAGCTCCATAAATCAAAATATGATAAATAAAATGATAGTTGACCAATGTTCTCTTCTCGTAAAAAGTGCTCACTTCAATTTCAGGAATGCTTTTCTCCTTTAAGCAACTTCCATGTCATCAATAACCACTTCAATTGCATATCTAAAGAAAGTGAAATGAAAGTTTAACATCTTCTTGGTTATTGATTTTGAAACTTTACACACAAATTTATATCTTGAAATCTCAAAGTTGATAACAAGTTTAAAACTAAAGATGAGGAAAACTACAAGACAAAAAAGCACTCCTAAAGGTTCATTTACATTAACATAAATCAAAGTGTAATACGTATTATGCTAATATCCCAAAAGAGCGAAATTCATAAAATAAGAGCCAAGGATTTTAAGCCTTTACAACTTACAAGAAAGGACATTGTATTTTTCTTTTAAAAAGAAGAAGAAAAGCATGTCTCCTTTTTGCATTGTTAACTACACCTTTTGATATTACAACTTTAAAATAATGCCATAGGAGGCTCCTTTGCTCAACTAATATATCAGAGTATACACATACAAAGAAATGCAAATGGTGACGATAAAAAACAGAATCGAATCTCAACCATTTATTTCTTGTTTTAAATATACATATATATACTTGGAAACAGTCAATTTTGATCAAATCAGATAAAACTATTGACTGGAAAATATGTTTTAAGTATTCAACAAAAGCAATGTGATAGCTGGTGTTTATTTTCTTATCTTGGTCATCTCAATCTTAAGATGCCTACTTTGTAATCACTCATTGTCTTACATATAGCACAAACTCATAGGATAAGATTTTGCGCTGGAATTAAGAATAGTTTTCTTAAAAAACCAAAGATTAGTTAGACTTCGGTTCAATACCATAACATCACTTTGTACACCCTGCAGTTTATGGGAGTTACTGAAAGCAAACCATGATATAATATTAGATGTTGCATGTGGGATGAGCTAAGCTATTTTGCATTTAAATGGTTGCACTTTCTTCTTGCTATGAACTTTTTGGTTAACAGATCAAACCGTCACTGATTATTATAATATGGATAACACATTCGAGAAAGGATCACATCACAGATGACTGTATCATCTCAATAATGAAGAGGCTTTAACTACAAGAGTTCAAGCGTCTTTTACATAAGCGGGGGATCATAATTCGTTTTACTTCTCGTGATTATCAAAATCTGCACCTAAATCTAACAGAATGTCTTTTTGTTTAAAAATCTGCAGATAAATCACCTCTACTTTTTTTTATTTACATGTTTTAAGTGAGTTTTATCACTGCACGAAAATCAATAACGTGTTCACAGTAAATTTTCTTACTGTTATAAATTCTATTCTCATCATATTTCTTCATTTTTCGAATATTTTCTTGGCTCTTGCTTTATCCTTGATCAGAACAAGTCATGCTAATTTTGTTTATATAGTAAGTGGTGGTTTGTCAACATCAAGAATTCAAGACAGACCAAAAAATTAGAAGCAACCTTTTCATCATTTCGTATACATTGGAGAGTGTGGCCAAGGTCACACTCACACTAGAATAATGCAATGCTCTGCTTCAGTGGATTTTACATATATAGCTCCTAATGCACTGGAAGAGTCACTAGCTTCAGGACCTACTTGATGCTAAAATGATTCAGCTTATGGTAAAATGAAGCTATTATTTGGTAAAATGATTAGGGTTTACAAATGGCAATTTTATTATTTTGGGATTATCATGTTGGAATTTATTTGGAAGGATTACTACAGTGTACATCACCAACTGCCCAAAGAACATGATAGAATGAGCATAATATTTATGCACAATTTCACCTTCCAATAGACCTCATGCACCATACTGTTTTAGTTTCTTTTTTCACCTTTTTTCTGATTTGGTTGTGGGGTTAATTAAGTATTATTTTCATAACCAAAAATAATAATAAATAGACACCTAATGATCTAAGTACTATTTGACACAGAAAAGAAATGAACGAAAGAAAAAAAAAGATGATTTGATTAGAAAAATGAAAAAAATTTATAATACTGTTTTCTATTATCAAGAATTTTTTTTCTGTCAAAAAATATATACCAGAAAAAAAAATTCACATAATTAATTAGCCCATAATCACTTATACTTTTTCATGCGACTTTTTTTTCTTCATTAATAGTTTTGTCTTTCTTTCCTTGGTAATTCCTCGTTCTTGAATTCTAAATTTACATTAAGAATTTGTAGAGAGAGAAATAGACCTAATGAGTGATATGAAATTATTACATATTATTCGTGGTTTTAATCTATCATCAAATGATATATAATTTCAGATATTCAATTTAAAAAGGGTTAGTAAGATTTTATCAAAATTAGTGTTACATCAAGTGGAAGTGTAAATATCATAATTTAAATAATGTTCTCTTTTTGGTTTTTATTATAAAATCTAATTAGGAAATATTAAGTTACATTAAAAAGCGTTTAAACTGATATGATCTTCTAAATTTTTTTTTAAGTTTTTATAAGATTGGTCTTCACTTCCCAATTACATAAGAGGATATTTTTTGTGTAAAAAAATATAATATTTAATATAAGATATTTTATAATTTTAATAAAAGAAAATATTTTTTATATTCTTATAAAAATTGTCAATATTATTATAAATTGATTTAATAATGATTAATAAGGGTAAACTATGTGATTTTGTCTAACTATAGACAACAATTGTTGTGGAGTGTTTAAATGATAGATATATATATTTTATAAACGCATGGTTGAAAAATAAACGAAGAACTGATAGTGTGATACAGCTGTGGGATGTAGAGTATAGAAACCAATGACTGAAGCTTTAGCGTGGGATTGTAATTAACTAAATATTTTGGTTGGTTTGGTCACCATTTCCGTCGCCACATAAAATCAAACTCAAACCAATTCCTACAGAGACCAAGACTTCTAATTTTCTAGGGTTATAACATTTTTTATTTATTGCAAACTAATTGCAACATTAACTACTTAAAAATAAGAGTTTCACGAAATAATAATAATAATCATTTGTAATTTTTTAATACTTTGTTTTAATTGCATATTAACAAGTTCCAAATTATTAACTATTTTATTATGTTTCATGTTGTTTAGGAGTTGAAATAAAAAATATTTTATATATATTTTCATCTTTTAATCATCAACAATTATTTTAAAAATAAAATTAGAATCAACGAAAACTCTTAAATAGATAATATTTCAAACATACAAATTACATTATTATAAGGAATGTAAAGTTTAGACACTCTTATAATAAATATATATATATATATATATATATATATATTTATCTCTTGATGATTGATGTTGTTATTATATTTATCCGTAAATTTAAGGATTAAGAATGTAAGTTTTAATTAGAGATTAAAGATATATTTTCGAAAATGTTAAAAAAAAAAATATTATATCAAAATAGTTGTATTAAACATTTCAAGTTACCTTGGGTGGTTGAAGCAACCCTACCATAAAACTTCTTCTTAATCAAGGAGACATTAGGCTTTCAACCGCAAGCTAACTCTTAATTTGGCCACTGGTTTGCCAACAAAACTAAAACCACAAAACAAAACCTTCTGAATATAAAAAACCTTAACATCGTCATCATATCATGATCTAGATCATAAAACACTGCTCAACTATTCAACCTTATCCTAAGAAAAAACCTTTCTTAAAAATTAAGGTTAACCAACATCTACACATAAAGTAGAGTCCAATTTTTCTGATGCACACATTACATATGAAGTCCCAATTGACAAATCTGACACAATTTAAAAATTGGTATTCAATATTCCCCCAATTCACACGTCAATTAATTTATTCATTCAAAACCTTCATAGCCTATTTTGGTACATCACACTCTCTAGATGTCTCAATCAATACACACCCAAAATATAATTTACAGAAAGCATTCTTGACCCTGGTTCATCTCTGGTGCCATGGATTCACCAATGAACATGACTCGTGGTTTTTTGTTGTTGTGAAACACGAGAGAGTCAACAAATAGCACAAGCATTAGGGTTCTCTTCAGCACTCTGAACATAGTAGTATGTGGTCATGTGGGGGTTGTATGATTTGTAGAGCTTGACAAGCTCCTCAATTTGTTGGTTTGGATCTTTCTTCTTGTCATCATCTTTTTTCCCATCATCTTTCTTCTTCTCTGGCTCTTTTGCCGGCCCAACACTTACAATTTCCGTGTGCCATGTTTTTCTCAATTTGCTCACCACACTCACAGGGTCTATGTCACCCACTACAGTCAGTTTCTTCTCCTTCATGTCCATGGAGATGGAATCGATGCCTGCATATTCAAATTTCACATTCAAACCATCTTGCTCACATGATGAAATATTAATAAAGATGAAAATGAATTTCTCTAATCTCTGTAATATATAGTCATTTTTAGCTCGATCTTCTTAAAATAATTTCTTTTTCTGCTTCATTTTAATTCTTCATGTTAGTTTCTTATTTCTGATAAAATTTCAAGTAATTTCCATCGTTAGAAACATTTGTCCATTTTACTAATGGAAAGTAGCAAGTAGCAACAAAATAAACGTCCATTCCCGTGATTAACTCCTTTTCCTTTTATATTGACAATATGATTTGTTGAAAGCCATTCTTACAAATTAATGGACAAAATCATTCCAAATCATTCTTTATTTATTGAATGATTCCTATGGTCCCAATACTTTACATATATCTAGTCAGTAATTGCATTAAATAAAAAATAAAATTTAGATAAATGTTATATGTATTTTTCTATCATGATCAAGATTATAGTTTCGACTCAGTGAGATTTTAAATCAGTACCTGATAGACTAGAAACGGATTTCATGGCTTTCTGCTTTGCTTTGTCATTGTGTAAATCCAATTTCAACACCACTTTCTGCAACAAAACAAGAGAACAACAACATGCAGGACAATCAGAGAAACCAGCAATCTAAAAACAACAATCACCAATTAAGGTTAAAACATGTTTAAGCACTTTTTTTCTTTGTTTGTAAAGAAGCGAAAGAGATGTGAAATTATATTGTAACAGATATACACTGTAATATAATCTGCGCCAACTATGATAATTTATTGGATATCATGTATGAAACAGAATAGAAAATGGGTATCATAGAAATAAAAAACAGAGTAGGGTGGGGGATATAAAATGAAAATCCACTTAAACAAAGAAAAAGAGGTCTATATTGAACTGGTCTTTCTTGTTAAAATGAAGAATGGTAAAGAAGGGACATAAACTAATGAAAGAAAAAACAAAAAACATAACAATAGAGAGAAACAGAAGATATGACATATTAAGTGCATAAGGAACTGAACTTTGAATGAGACTAGGAAATCTCACCTTCATTTATATTTAGGAGTGACGAAGAAGAAAGAGGAATGAGGAAGAAGAAGAAGAAGGAAGGAAGAAGCAGAGAAATTAGCAATGGAACTTCACTTCAGCTTTGGCTTGGGACGAGGTTTATGTGGAGGATGGACTCCTCCTTTGCTAGCAACCATGTTATATAATATATCACCAAAACAAGTCAACTTAAAATTATCTTTGGGTAAATTAATATTTTATATTACATAGATTTCAACTTAAAATTAGATTTCAATTAAAATAAAATATTTTCATTGTGTAATCCAGTACCTAAATTCTTACAAATATATCACTCATTTTTTACATCGGAACTTCTTAACTATAAGCTTTCTTTTGTCAATATTTTAAAAATAATAAAAAAAGTTATTAAATAGGTCTTACCAATAACCCCACATTCTTACATTTTATTTCACAAGTTCTTGAATATATTTCACAAAGTCCGCTTAAAGTTAAGAAACATAATTACATTAATTGACTACAAGCTATACTAAGACTAACATCATTATATAACTGCATATTTCTTTCTAATTTGGTTAGAAAGCCTTTATATATTTGAGATATCAATGAAAATCATATATATATTATTTTTCTTTTTCATTAACTTGTTACACTAATGTTTAGCCCGTGTCATATTTTTGTAACTGAATTTTTTTACTTTTGCTCTCATTGAATTGTGTTTGTAACACGATTATATTCTAGATTAGTAGATGATGAGTAAAAGTTTGACGTTATTTATTTTAATTATTTAAATACGACTTATTTATATGTTGATCGTTTGTCTAAATATTAATTATTTTTAAGTTGAAATCTATTATGATATTATAATCTTATATATTTGTTGGTTGATTTTAAGTTAAAATTTTAGAGGCAAAAATCTTAATTCTTTTCTTGGTTATCAAAAGATGCACTTCTCATTATTTAGGTTTGTTTGTATAATCGTGCAAATTTTTTATCTATTTTATTTAAATTTTGTTAACACATTTTCATTTGTCTTTATCCCTTTAATTTTAAGTTGAGTTTAAATAACATATTAATTGGAAGAACAGATAAATAAAGCTCTGTTTCACATGCTAAAAAATAAAATATAACTATTAGTTAATTTAATTTAAATAACTATTAATTAATTTAATTTAAAATCCAATAACCCATGTGATTTAAATGTTGGAAAAACAATAACAATAATAATAATCCTGATTTTGATTCTAACAATCAAACATAAACATAATCCCATACTGATAAACATGCTGTAAACTGAATTATTTATATATATGATACATAATTTAAATGTGTTAGGGCCATTATTTATTAAGCCAAATAATAAAGTGATCTGACTAAATTAAAGTTTTGGCTAAAAGCATATGTCATGAAAATAAAATTGTGTAGAGACCATAGAGCAATTTCTAATTTGATGAGGGGCCAAATTGGAAATACTAAAACTTAAGTAATTAACCTAATTCCGGTTATCTAAAGGGTCATGATCCCCTTCGAGAGCACACACGCAACGTAAGTATCGGTCCGTTCCTTTCTTTCTATCCCCATCAAGAGAGAAAATCAAGAGGGAAATACGAGTGCTTCTTCGGGTGGAAGACCATAAGATCAATATAGTGCTCTACAAAGACATCATCGTTATGGCTAATTCGAGTACGCTTTCGCATTCGGTTCTACAGCATGTTTATCGGTATGGGATTATGTTTATGTTTGATTGTTAGAATCAAAATCGGGATTATTATTATTATTATTATTATTATTATTATTATTATTATTATTATTTTTCCAACAATTGGTATCGGAGCCGCCCATATTTGATTCATGTACTGTTTAATTTATAGAACCCTAATTATGAAAATTAGGATTAATTTTGTTTTAAACAATTCGGATTACCCAATTTTATGAACCCTAAGTGGAGGATAATCTCTAATTTTTGTGAACCCTAAAATTTAAATTTGGGGGTAACATCCCCAATCTGATTACGCTTGCTGATGGAGCAGTGGAGGAAACTATGGATTCTTTTTCTTCTTCGTTTTTCACTTTTGTTTCAGTTTAAGTTTCAAGTTTTATCGAGAAAGAAATAGTGTTTCATATTTCAATTTTTCTTGTATTGGGTTCTCTGTTCTTTTTTGAATCTTTTGTTTTTATTTAACTTTATGGGTTTGGAATTGGGGGTGGTGTTTGTGGAGTTCCCAATACGGAGAATCTTAGGTAAATGATGAATGTTTCCACATGTTTGGTCGTTATTATTTTATTGTCTCTATCCCCTAGGAATTTAAAGAAAATTTGATGTTAAATTAGAGTCCGAGTGATTACTTGTTTAATTCCCTTTTAGGGTTTAGAGCGATATGCTAAAGAGACTCGGAACTATCTCTGTTTCATCCCTAGTGTGATTTTAGGAAGATGTTCATCCTTTATGTATTGGTGGAAAATGAGGCATTTTTTCATCCTTTGATTTGTTCAAATGAGGTGTTCATCCCTAATGAGATTCTAGGGAGGTGTTCATCCTTAGTAGAATTATAATGAGGTGATTCTCTTTTGAATTAGTTTGCGAATATTAAATATTTGGTTTTGTTATATAAATAAAATATTCAATTTTTGGTAGTTTAATATTTTTTGTGAACAAATTGAGTCAAGAAGTCACCAAAGTAACTTCTCTTGAATTGGGCAGTTCATGAAAAATATTGAATGTTAGTGTTTGTGTATATTCATGCGAGTATTAGTCGGCCCAAAGGAAGATTAATATTTGGCCGAATTGCATACACACTTGTAATGATAAACATGTGATAATTATAAGGATTTGCTTTGTCGATGATAAATCAATCCAAAGACTGGTTTGTTGTTGGACGTGCTTTATTGTCAATGTTTGATTATTACAACAAGATACCTCTAGCAGTTAATATTACTCGTCCAAAGACTTGATATTGATGGTGCATTGGGTATCTTGAGATGGGTTAAACCACTATTTGAATATATATTATTTATTTTTTATATAATGTGAGCATAATTAGTTTAATTAGACTCCGAACGATAAGTGGTTATATTATTGGTTATGCTTTGAAAGATCCAGGGGATATAAATATTATGATCCCACATTAAAGACAATTTTTGAGACAGGAACTGCTACGTTCTTTGAGGATATTAAGTTTGGGGGGAAGAATAAGATTAAGAACTTCATCTTGGAGGAAGAATCGGTAACAATTTCAGAACCAATTCAAATAGTTACTTTTGATAAAGTAAGTTCGGAACCTCCACAAGGCATTGTTGATGAACCCCTTACTCAAGATGATTTGGTTGTTCATGAAGAACAAACTCAAGATCCTCAAGAACCTGTGCATCATGAGCTAATAACTTTGCGAGAGATCCACTAGAGAAAGAAGAAGTGCTATTTCAGATGATTACATGGTATTTCTTCAGGAACATGAGGAAAATAATGATATAATGGAAGATGACCCAGTTAACTTCCGTCAAGCTATATAAGGTTCTAAATCTCAAAAGTGGATTGAAGCAATAGGATAAGTATAAGTCCATGCAAGACAATAAGGTTATTGGGAACTTGTCCCATTACCAGAAGGTATGAAACTCATTTGGCTTCAAGATGAATATTGTTGATGATTGTATGTATCACAAGTTTAAAGGGAGACAAGTTTAGTCTCAATCAGTGCCCAAAGGGAATTTGGAAATTGAGGAAATGCAAAAGATTCCCTATGCATCAGTTGTAGGGAGTTTGATCTATGCCCAAGTATGTATGCATCCAGACATAGCATATATAGTTGGGATTCTAGGCAGATATTTAAGCAATTCAAGAATAGACCATTGGAAAACAGCAAAAAGGATCATAAGATATTTAAAGAGAACAAAAGATTATATGCTCACATATAGGAGGTCGGACCGAGTTGGAGATCACTGGGTTTTCCGACACAGATTTTGGAGGATGTCAAGAATTTGTAGCATGCTATGAGACATCGAATCATGGAATATGGTCGAGAAATTTTGTCACGAGTGCGCAAATTGTGAAAGGCATTGAAAGACCACTTAAGTTATATTGTGACAATAAATCGGCTATATTGTTAAGGAAAGAGTACAAAGTGGACAGATTTTCATAGAACACTTAAGGACAAACTCCATGATAGAATATCCTCTAACTAAAGGATTTCCGCCCAAGGTCTTTCATGAGCATGTTGCTCACATGGGTGTATTACAGTTTGAGGAATTTGTGGTTTAGTGGGAGTTAGTCACTTTCATATATTTTATGTTCTATGTTTAATTTCATATATGTATACATTGTCTTTTTTTGGACATATTTGGTTATCTATAGATATGCGGTTTTTTCGTTCATTCATTACACTTTGTACATTAAGGATATTATATCGATCTCAATAACTTAAAGTTTGGACCAGTTGAAAATAGACGTGTACAGATCACCTTCACGTAATTTTTCATGTTACACATTTCATGATGAATCCATGTCATTTGGTTATGTTAGGATGAGTAATCATTGTTGGTTTTAGTTGCGATGATGCAATGAAAAGCTGGTTTGGTTCTATATCCTAATATGATTAATGGACAGGACTTTTGGAGTATGCTAAAGGAATATAATGATACTTTTGAGCTCATAAAGTCTAACACATTTGTAAGGTTGTAAGGACATATATATATTTGTGACCAGTGGGAGATTGTTGGAAAAATTTGGGTCATGTATATATATGATACATAATTTAAATGTGTTAGGGCCATTATTTATTAAGCCAAATAATAAAGTGATCTGACTAAATTAAAGTTTTGGCTAAAAGCATATGTCATGAAAATAAAATTGTGTAGAGACCATAGAGCAATTTCTAATTTGATGAGGGGCCAAATTGGAAATACTAAAACTTAAGTAATTAACCTAATTCTAGTTATCTAAAGGGTCATGGTCCCCTTCGAGAGCACACACACGAACGTAAGTATCGGTCCAGTTCCTTTCTTTCTATCCCCATCAAGAGAGAAAATCAAGAGGGAAATACGAGTGCTTCTTCAGGTGGAAGACCATAAGATCAATATAGTGCTCTACAAAGACATCATCGTTATGGCTAATTCGAGTACGCTTTCGCATTCAGTTTACAACATGTTTATCGAGTATGGGATTATGTTTATGTTTGATTGTTAGAATCAAAATCAGGATTATTATTATTGTTATTGTTTTTCTAACATTAAATAATCACGTCAACAGAAAAAAATATTGTAAATATTTTTAGTTAAATTTAATATTTGGTGAATTTTTTAAATTACAAGGTGGAAGTTAGACTCGATTAATGTATTTTTAAATATTTAATTTCATTAAAAATACTTGTATATATTAATTATATTTTTAATATAAACTTTTAATATATAATCTTAATTTCGGTGCACCTTAAAAAATATGTAAATAATTTAATTTTACAAAATTAATTTTAAAAATTTATATCTTATTTATATACTACAGATTAATTATATTTTAATCAATGAAAAATTTCAATTAATACAATATCTTAAAACATGTTTTTACGTGTATGATATATATTCCAAGACTGAAATGTGAATAAAAAATGATCTTATTTTATTTAATATTTTGAAAAAATATTTCAAGTTTTTCAAGTTTCACGAATTTATGATTTTTTATTTTATTTGAATGAGAGTGTTGGACAAGGAAGGGAAACATTGACGCAAAGTCAGTCGCGGGCGAAGAAATGGATTTTGTTGTGTTTTTCTTTGATTTGTCGATCTTTCAATTCAATGTTGGACCTTCGAAGGGCAAAGCTTGGCAAAGTCTTTCCCATAACATCTTAACCACCCTTTAGTTAGGTTTTAACCAAGGAACGCAAAACAATATCATATCACTTTCACTCCAAAATCAAATATTACATCATTTTTTTCATTAAAAGATTTAAAGATAATAAATTTAAAGACTTTTTCTCTTATACATTTAATTTCTATTTAATATAAAACTTCAATTCACTTAATTCTATATATATATATATATATATATATATATATATATATATATATATAAACATTCTTTATTTCAAATAAAAATATTTACAAACATCGAATATATTTAGAAATAAATCTTATTAAGAATGTATATTTTAATGGAAACCCTTATTAATTTTAATATTTATATCAACATGATATTTTTTTTAAGTAATTACCTTCATGTTGTATCGTTTGAACTTACTATTATTAGACAAATTATCATTATTAATATACACTTCAATTCTAGTAATATAAAAAAAAACAAAGAATTTATATTTGTTTTTATTTTTTATTTGTTCAGTTCTATAATGTCAGATTAGAATACACAAAATTTTTACTGTTTTTTTTTATTAATTTTTTTCTTCTCATGAGTTTTATGTATTGTTTCGTAACTAGTGGAAAAAAAGTCTCTCAATCATCCCATTAACTTTATTTTATGTTTGTTTGTTTCTTTTAATTTGTTTTCTCTGTATCTAAATTAATTTGTGATAATTTTTTGAAATAATGTATTAATAATAAAAAATAATTTATTTACAGAAAATTTAATATATATTAAATATTTAATTATTACAATAAATAATTACTATAAAGTAATATAGTTTTTGTTTTTATTTTATAGTTTTTTACTTTTTATTTTTATACTTAAAATAATTATTTTTAGTCTTTATAAAATAAGTGATTTGTTTTAGTTTCTATCAAACATTTTCTTAGATTTTTATCAGTTTAAAATATATTTTTTTGGTATGTAACATTTTATTGTAAGATAGATCAGTAATATTTATTGTAAAAATTCATATATTAACATTATATCATAGACATTAATGCATTGATATTTTGTCAATCACTAAATAGTGTACCACTATCATGTAAAAATTCTAGCGGCATCCTTGCATATTAGCATAGACGGAGATTCAATATTGAGAAATCAAATTGTCATTAATCAAATCCTTATCTTATACCAATATCAATTTTGTAAATTAGATTACTCTATATATTGATTCATTTTTTTCTATATTTCAATTAAGCATTTGTTTTCTAATCTTAATAACTTGATAATTACTTTATAATAATTTAATAATACAAATATAATTTTAAAAAATATTATTATATTATCAAAAGTCTTCGAATATTTATATAAAAAATATTGAATATGAAAGTATCATCTTCTAAAATAATCACTTTCATGAGAGATTTGTTATCGATTTGTTCTTATATGTGATATAGTTGGTCAAACAATATGTATTTTTAAGTATTTATTATGCTATGGAATAATATTGAGTTACTAGTTCAATGAAATATTCATGCTCTATTAATAGCCATTAATGTATTAGGTGCCAAGAAGAATTATTGATAAACCTTAAATCCTAAACCCTAAATGATGCCAAATCATAATTATTGAAATGTAGGCCCTTGATCATAATCATACATGGACTTGAGAATATCGTTGGATTTATGTTATTAAAATTAGATCAAATGATGAAGTCGATCGTCTCAAGACATGCTTAGTTACTAAAAGATATACTTAAATTTATGGTTTTAATTATAATAATATTTTTTTCTTAAGTGACCAAAATGACTACTATTCATTTATTTTTTGCTATGACAACTATTTGTCATTGATCACTTTATCAATTGGATATAAAAAATGTATTTCTTCATAGTGATTTAGAGGAGGAGATTTATATGGAACAACCTCCTAAATTTGTTGCTCAAGGAGAGTTAGGCTTGATATGGTCTTAGACAATCTTCATGAGCTTGGTTTGAAAACTTCAGTTGTGTAAACTATTGGGTTAAAACGAAGTGAAACATATCATTCTATTTTTTTATTATCCTACGTCTCTTGATAAATGTGTTTATTTAATAGTATATATTGATGATATAATTATTACTGAGAGTGATGATGTTAGAAAATCTTGTTAAAATTAATTAATAAATTAATTCAATTATGTGACTCATGTAAAATATTATAATGAATCTAAATGTGATTTAATAAAATATAATAACGAATTTGTTATTATAAGAAGTCATAATAAAAATAAAGATAAAATAAAATAAAAACTTACGGTAACTAACTAAATGGATGTAAGTTAATAAAATGAACTAGGGTTGTGTAATCTGAAAATACGAGGCAAACCATATAGAAACAGAAACCCATCACACTCATTTTTCTAATCCACCAAAATCAAACAGCAAGAAATGACCTATGATCCACATGACACACATAAGAATTTTATTCTGCCATGTATTTTATTAGAAAACGAACCTAGAAATACAAAATCAAGCAAACAAAAAACAAACTAAGGAGAAACAACAGTGGCTGAAAGATCAACTGTCAGGGGAATGGAAAGGAAGTCAGGGTTTAGGGTAGTAAGTTAAGAACAAAAATCACATTCAATATAAATGTAACGTCAAAAGGCAAAGACTAACTTAAATTATTGAGAAAATTCATGGACGCAAATGGCGCTAATTCAAATCCAAGACATTCCAGTTGAAATCCATTAATTATGCCATGTGACTGATAATATGATAGAATTATCTTCTCTCAAAGGGGCAATCCCTACTACGATGACGACAGATAGTCACTGATAACCTGGCCGAAAAAGAAGAAAAATACAGGATGTTGTTACCGAGATTATTAGGCAGCGACTTGGCCTTGCAAGGATGCCCGAGCAATCTCTAGTGCCTCCTCCACTGAAGTTGCGTTTTCAAGTTTGGCTTTATCAATCAAAGGTTGACTTCTGGCAAGTTTGGGCAAGAGTTGAAATTCCTGAGTTAAAAAACAAAAACTCGCATTAGGTTTTCTCTTTCAATTATCTCAGGGTTTATTGCAATGAATTCTCAATTATATAGCTACTTCTGAATATAAATTCTGTGATTTACTAGTGTGTAATTTAGATAAACTTCTGCCTAGATATAAATACTAAGAGAAGAAAATGACAAAATTCTTTGAGCTTTTTCCATAAAGTAAAACTAACAATTAGTTAATTTTTGTAGAAGCCCTCCTATTTATTTTTTCTAAAAGTTGAAGTGCGTAAAAGTTTACTTTAGCTCACAAAAATTCATTTTACTTTTTTAATTTCTTCTCTTAAAAGTACAATAAAAAAAATTATACAAACTGAGTTATAGAGCAAAGCTAACAAAAATAACTGCTGACCAACGGTGTTATCGGGCTATACATGCATCTAACGATCCCAAGGAAAACTAAAGCAACTTTGCTGATTTTCCATGAACATCCATATACTATGTCAAAGAAACTCAATATAACACTATAGGATTAGGATTCTCTGCAGTTTCAAAATGAACTACAAGATGTTCATTTCAATATTTCTCCCTTAAATTTTATTAAAAATAAATTTTAAAAGATAAAATCATTATTTAATATATAACATTAACAAAGTAGATAACAACTTTTGTTCTCTATATTTTTTACCTATGCTATTATATTTATTCCATAAATTAGGGTAAATTTTTTTTAAAAGTGCCTTATCTAAATAAAATAATCATGGAAAAAATATAAAATGATGTCTTAAGAAAAAAAAATAACACAAATCAATATATGATCATTTTATTGTCAATCACACTGCTGAAAAATAGTGGCAACTAGCAAGTACCTCAGGGTTCCCACTTTCAAGAAGAACTCCTTTCAGCTTATCTGTGCAGCATTAAGTAATCAAATTATTAGTAACAGTAATTAAGATCGAAAAAGCAAATGTATGCTTTTAAACATACACATTAATGCATTACCAGATTCAATCCAGAAGGTAGCTATTTTAGGATCAAAATTTCCAATTTGAACTGTTTCTCCAACTGTCGAAAGAAAAATAACTGGTCAGAGCAACAGGAGAGAAATTTAAAAATTGAAAAAGAAGAAAAGAAAAAGGTGAGGCGATGATATTCATTTTTATGTAATATTTACCATTGTCCCCAAAGAACTGCCACCATACTTTTCTAGGGCTTCCTTCATATTCAAAAACCCTCGAGTAGAAATATGGAAGATAGTCGTACCTGAAAATCATTAAGTAAATTCAGCTAAATCAGCGGGCGGAAAAAAAAAAATGAACTCCAAGGATAAATGGCAGGAACATGATCCAATGTACGTGTGAGTTTGTGCGGTCAGTAATGCTTTCACACAGTGCTGTGCAGAGCGACGGGCATGATCTACGTGTTCCACTCGAGAGATACGGTTATAGATCTGTCCGGTTTTCCATAAACATATATGTCAGATAAAAAATAAAAGATATTCATAAAGTGATCCAATTTAATGCAAAACATGAACACCAAACTGAAAAGCCTAAAAAATAAACCAAACTAAGTGAAACATTTGAAATTTTTTTATTGAATTGGATTGGAATTAACATGTGATTTTAAACATCAATCCAATCCATGAAAATTAAACTCGTACAGATGATCTGTTCCCGCCCCGAGTTTAACGAAAAAAATCCGAGTTGACTGGGGGTGGGGACGGGTTCTCCCCGCTTTAAAAAGTCGGAGACGGGACGGAAATGGGTAATGCAATCCTCATCCCGACTCCGACCTCATCCCCGTCCCGACTTTATATTTAAATTTAAAATTTAAAATATTAATACTTTAAATGTATTTTCTTTTCTTTTTCTATTACATATAAGGTTATTTTTTTTATATTTTACCAATTTTTATTTTTCTTTTACCCACTTTTAATTTTTTTTGTCTTTTTTAATCTTTTATATCAATTAATTTATTACATTATTCTCTCTCCTACCTCTCTGTTTTTTACATTTCCTTAATTTCTCTCATCAATTTTTTTTTTAATCTTTTCAATCAATTTGATGAACACAAAGTAAAAATTTTTTTCTTTATCTTTTTCTAAATATTTTACATAAATCCTAGTAGTAACTAATATTATTTTATTTATAATTTATATTTATTAGGTTTTATTATGTCATATTTTTTATTATTATTCTTATTTATCATATATGAAATTTTATCTTAATAAAATAATTATATTTTAAAGAATTAAAAAAATTGATAATTTAAACTTTTATTACTTCGAACTAATTAAATAAGAATTAATTTATTAAATATTTTCTTATAAAATATATATTTCATATTTTTAAATGACAACCTAAAAATGAATTAACTTTTTTATATATATATATATATATATATATATATATATATAATTAAATGTTTAAATACAATATTATAATAACAATGTTATAAGTTTCAAATATTCGAATATAATAATAATAATAATAATGTTATAAATATTCTCTCTATATATAAATAAAAAAAATTAAATATTTTTTTACATACATATTTTAATATAAATATAATAAATTAAAATATATATTTAATTGATAATAATTATAAATTATAAATATTTATTTATATATAAAAATACATAATAAAATTAATTTATTATAAATGTAATTATCTTTTTAAAAATAATATAGATCGGGGACGGGACGGAGAACCCGAAACCGACGTGGACGGCGATGGAGACTTAATTTTTAACCCCGACAGGGATCGGAGGCGGGAACGGGGATGGTTAAAAAATCGGGGGCGGGGATCGAGGAAGCAAAACCCGCCCCCGCCCTGTTGTCATGCTTAATCCAATCCCACTTCAAACCTGTTAGTTGCAAAATATTACTCTTTTTCTGTCCTCTTAACCTTAATGTTTTCTTTGTATTTATCCTCGATTGTTGAGCCAAAGCCTCTAAAATCTGTTTTAAGTAGATATTTAGGTTTTATATCTAGTGCTTATATGCAACAACTTATTATATGTCCAATTTATTAGGTCGGTTATGTAACGGGTCGAACCCTGGTCATTATACATGAGTTGGGTCCTGGGCACTTCACAGCCCCAGCCTTAAGTGTTAGACACTGAGGATTTATGTATTTAATTATTATAAGGTTCCGTCTTTGGTCTGTTTACATAGGTTGGGAATCTAGATACTACACAGCCCCCAACCTCGAGTGTTTAAACTTTGGGGCTTTGTGACTCATAGGGACGAGATACTAGGGTGATATATGCTCAGCTAAATAACAAATAATCAGCTAAATCTCAATCTCTTATGGGTCACTATAAAGTATTCTGACCTCTTGAGGCCGCCTATGGACCGACGCGGTAGAGTTTCCGATCATAAATGGTCGTTCGTCACTGATGAGTTTCCGACCGCAAAAGGTCATTCGTAGCCGACGAGTTTCCGACCGCAAAATGGTCATTCATAGAGTTTTCAATCTCAAAATGATTGTTTGTCGTTATCAATTTTTTCAACCTAGAGAATGGTCAGTTGTCACTGTCAAATTTCTGATCTCAAAGTGATCGTTTGTCGATTTTTTCGACCTTTATCATTGTCGTTTGTCGATGTTGATTTTTTCGACCTAGAGCAAGCATGGTTAGTTGTTGTTGTCGAATGTCTGATCTCAAAGTGATCGTTTGTCGATTTTTCTCACCTTTATCATTGTCATTTGTCAATTTTTCCGACCTAGAGCATGGTTAATTATCACTATCGAATGTCTGATCTCAAAGTGATCGTTTGTCAATTTTTACAACCTTGAGCATGGTTGTTTGTCGATTTCGATTTTTCTAACCTAGAGCATGGTCAGTTGTCGCTGTCAAATTTTTTATCTCAAAGTGATCGTTTGTCGATTTTTTTGACCTAGAGCATGGTAGTTTGTCGATGTCAATTTTTTCGACCTAAAACATGGTCGGTTGTCGTTGTCAAATTCTTGATCTCAAAGTGATCGTTTGTCGATTTTTCCGACCTAGAGCATGGTGTCAATGTCGATTTTTCCGACCTTTATTTGGTCGTCATAAGATTGTAGGATGAACCTGCGCATTGTCAAACTATGCTAAACCATTATCCACAAAAATTAAATCCGTACTATATATATATATATATATATATATATATATATATATATATATTAAATGAAAATTAACTAGCAAAATAATTCTAATCTAATTTTTTATTATTCACTTGAATAAAAATAATAAATAAATTTAAACCAAAATAGAAATAAATTTTAATCTTATCTCTCGTATCATTTGAACGTCCTCCTTCAAATCGATTTGAAGTCATACGTATGACGTGGTTGTGGCTTGTTGGCTGACCAAGGTTCATAGTCGAATGCAGTCGATCACCCATAAGTGAATTAGAAATTTGTATAATAATAATAATAGCGTTAGTAGGGCCTCCCTAATGAGTTGTTATTGTAGGGCCAAGGTCACTGCCGCCACCATTGCCACCAAAGAAGAATTTGAAGCTTCCTTTCCACCGTCCACGCCTCCACCAACTCCGCACCATATCTAAGAACACTCGTTCTTCTCTCACACCCCACTCCTCCCTCCAATCTTGTCTCACCTTGGCTTTCATGAGCTGACAATAGTAGCGTCTTCACTCTTTGATGTCGCAACCACGGCTTCCTCATCTTGGACCGATCCTTCCACAATATTTGCTTCGTCTGATGCCTTTCTCCGCACATGCTTTTCTTCCTCCATCCCGAACCTCCTTCGTGAACACATTGTTTCCGACCTCTAACCCACGTTGGCCGACTCAGCCAGGTGACTTTTTCATTTTTGTGGATTGAAATTCCTCATTCTTCTACCGTAGTTGTTCTTGCTCGTTGTATGCCCTATCGGCTCTGAGCTGAGCCTCTTTGTTCTACTTTTATAGTTGTTCTAACATAGACATCATCCTTTGCATTATCAAGTCATCGCCCTCCTCTGCTGGTTGGGAGTTCGCTCGCGTACTGCACATGGTTCTCACGTTTTTTTCGGTGGTGGGATTATAGGTTTTACCTTTTCCCATAACGACGCCAAGTGTTGCTGCAAAATATTGCTCTTTTTCTGTCCCCTTAACCCTAATGTTTTCTTTGTATTTATCCTTGATTTTTGGGTCGAGGCCTTCTAATATTTGTATAAATCGATGTAATTACTCTACCAATTTATTTTTGACATAATTTTGTTAACTATTTTTCGTTTTATTATTGTAATATTTTATAAGTTTATAATTTATTTAGCTTGAAATTTGTATTTTTTTTCTCTTTAAACTATATATTATTGTTGTCGTTGTATCTCTTGTTTTGTACTATATCACATTTATGTTTAACTGAAGAATAAGTTTTGACTTTTCATAAAGAATAGATTGAAGAAATAAAATCTAAGATACTGAGTGCAAAGTCTTAAAAGCAAAAATTTGGGCATGCATTTGTTAAAATCTCACAACTAAACATATACTCAAAATGTAATCCTTGGAAGACTTGGCCGGTCCTCATCTTATAAATTAGTTTTGGAAGGTTAAATGAGGTCCCAATCACAATTTCTTTAGAGTAATGTTAAATTTATGTATGAACATGTATTTGTAATTTTAAAACATCATACTATTTTATCTATTGATTTACAGGTTGGACCATGTTGTGACCATTGACTTAAGGATAGATATTTAATTCATTGAACAAGTATTTTATTATATTCATTTGAATGTTTGATGTCTTACAAATTAAAGTAAATTATGGTTTGTTTTGGATAAATTTGCATACAATATCTAATCCTGGTCTAACTTGGATTGGATTGTTTTATGTGGTTTTTGTTTTCTAGCATGGCTTATCCATGCTAGAAAACAAAAACCACATAAAACAATCCAATCCAAGTTAGACAGGATTAGATATTGTATGCAAATTTATCCAAAACAAACCATAATTTTCTTTAATGATCGAACCAAGTGATTTTCTTCTTTTGCCTAAAATTTATCCAAACCAAACCTTGAAAGCTCCTAGAATAATAAAACAAACTCAAAAGCAAATTGTGTACCTTTAAAGGGAAAGCTGCTACATCACCAACAGCAAATATTCCAGGAATGCTAGTCCGGAACAAACCATCAACCTGAAATAAAAGTTACTGATACATTTAGACAGAGTTCTTAGACCATTATTTTGGCCTCCTTCCAAATTTAATCTGCAAATGTGGGTATCTCTAACAACAAAATGGTCTCCCGAAATTGATGATTAACTAGTCCAAAAACACTATGCTTCCTTCACCAGAAAGGGAAGAGGTAGATGGTCATGCCCATTCACGAAATAGGGTTCAGTACATAAGACTCTTAATCGTAAGTGATATTAAAAGTACTACAATTCAATTTCTGATCTTTCCAATTTTTTTCAAATTGTTGTTATTCACTGGCCTCACCTGTATACCTCCAACATCTGTATTTAGGCCCACCCTCTCAAAGGGGCTCACAGCAGGTTTTGCTCCGATGCCTATAATAACCTGTGAACCAGAAGGAAAAAGTAAACAAAAAATTCCTCTATGCATTGTCCTTTGCCTATAATAACCTCAATTCTTGTTCTAGCAACTCATGCATTACAAAAGTAAAATTTAACGAAATATGATCTACAGATATTTAAGAGTAAATAAAAATATAATTACCGTATCTGCTTCCACAATCGATCCATCTCCAAGTTTCACACTAGCTACATGTCCGTTAGAACCAGCGTCCAATTTTTTTATGGAAGCACCCTGGTGAATTTAACATTTTTTTTTTAGAAAAAAGGGAGGGGTCTTTTCTTACTAATTATAACAATGGAACTAATTAGAGAACTGGGAAAGGGGAAATACCTTCAAGATTTTGACTCCATTTTTTTGATAAAGTTCTTCATATCTCCGGGAAAGAGAAGGAGTAAACAGTCTTTGCAAAAGTTGATCCTCCGGAAATATGATCTACTTTTTATGGTAACACATATTTGTTAGTCACTTGTAAAAACCTTTACAAAAGGACAATTAATCTTAAAAAGGTATACATATAAGTTCACTTCATGCATATGTCATAACTCCTGTGAATCCTCTGTCACTTGCATATCAATATTTGAACCATAAACCAGATAAAATGAGGCTGAAAAGCATGATGGCAATCAGGGTCATAGGTAGAGCAATGCAAAAAAGGCATAAATAGTAAAGTAAGTCAATTTGTCTAGAAAGGCTAATCTAATCCATAATGATTTACTGGTTATTCTATCAACCTTCAAGAGAAGCAAATATATCAGGTACACTAATCAATTAAGAAAAGGAAATAGAAATTAATGCAAAATTGGCTAATTGGAAAGCAATTGACGTACTTTTAATAATTTACAAACAAAAGAAGTTTGTCATTGGATCCCCCAACATCTTGATATTGACAAAAGACATGTAATAAAAAGAAAAATTATAATGAATTCATTGATTTTTTATTTTTTATTTTGACTTATTGCCAACCCTTTTAAGGCATGGAACGAGGGTAGTTATTTTACTTCACAAAAAGGCATGTCATGCCCTGATGTATGTAGGCAATTCAAGAAATGAATAACTTCTTTAGGCATAGATGAACAACTGAATAGGTAATAGTGGAGGTCAGACAAGAACTTTAGATCTATAACCATAAACTACGTAATGAAAAGTGATGTAGAATAAACACATACCGTCGTGTCAAGATTCCAACCAACAGCAGCAGCAGCAACCTCCAGTCCAATATAACCACCTCCAACAACTACAACCTTTTTTGCTCGTTCCTGGAAGTTTACAGCAAATGAATCAAATCATAATGATGAACAAATTGCATGCCCTGTTATTTTTTTTGGCTGTATTGAATGTTTCTAAAAAGTAACCTTAGCAACAAATATACAAAAACTTTGCAACTTTTCTCAGGTTGCATGAAAGAACACTTGAGAAAGATTGTGATTCTTTCATATATTCATAGGGAAAACATTGTACATTAAATATTGGAAAAAGTATAATTTGAATACCTATATCAAATGATTGTAAGGATTGGAACTTTAATCAAATTCTCCACTTCAAATGTAAAAATCAATCAATTCATTCACGTAACAGGGTATAATGAATTACCAATGATAAAATCAGTGCATCAGCATCTGTAACATTCCGGATATAATGGACACCAGGTAGGTTTCCCCCAATTTTCTCTGGAAACCTTAAATCAAGAAGTCAACAACTCAAGTTTTCAGCACCACTTTTACGTAAACAAAACTAGTGAGCTAAAGTAAATAAAACAATACCTTGATGCCGTACATCCTGTTGCAATAATAAGTGAACCATACTTCAAAAGTTTTCCAGAATTTGTTGTCAAAGTTTGCTTCTCAATATCAATATCTTTTACCGGATCTTCATACAACATCTGGACAGGAAAAATCATAGCATATAGCTCAGCATCTCACTAGCCTATATGGATGAGAACCAAAACGACAAGAATTGCTTCCTTCCTTAGACAGCTACACTAAATAAAGCTTGTACCATTCTATATCAAGCATTCCTATCTACATTGTACCACACGCACACTTAAAGTGAGTTTGGAGCCTCATATTCAGAACCTTCCAAAGCACCAAACAGAAAAGGAAAACGAGAGACGTACTGGACTTCAGCTTCCTCAACTGAATTCCAAACACACTTCAAAGTATATGGAAAGAAATCTTGAAAATTTTCCAAATCTTTATTTTTCTACTCCCCTCCCTGATAAATTATTTTCCAAAACGATTTCAACAACAGAAAGACTTACCTCTATTCAGTGGCGGATCATCTTGGGAGCTGCTGAGGGAGGCCGTGGCCCCCCAAAGTTTTATAACTCCCATATAATTTATGATTTTGGCCCCCAAAACTTAATGATCATTAATATATTTACTTATATATTTACAATTTTATCCTCTCATCACTCCTAATTCTTATGTAATTTATGATTTTGTCTCCTCAAACTTAAATATCATTTAATATATTTATTTATACATTTACAATTTTATCCTTTTACCCTTTTATCTTCCTTCACCCTTTATATTTATTTATATTTATTAATAATATATTATTTGACCTCCCCAAAATCAATGGTAAAGATCCGTCACTGCCTCTATCCAACAACAAAACAGTTTCTATGTACATTGTATCACAAGCACATTTAAATTAAGTTTGGAAACCAGTTTGGGGCCTCATATATAGAACTTTCCAACGCACCGAACAGAAAAAGAATAGGAGAGACAAATTGGACTTCACTTGTACTCAACAGATTTCCAAACACACTTAAAAGTTTATGCAAAGCAATATTGAAAATTTTCCATATCTTTATTTTTCAACTCAGTTCACTGATCAATTCTTTTGCAAAACAATTCCAACAGCAGAAAGAGTTACCTCTATCCAACAGAAAAAGGAATCATATCTACATTTTACCACATGCACACTTAAAGTGAGTTTTGAAACAGTTTGGAGCCTCATATACAGAACTTTCCAAAGCACCAAACAGAAAAAGAATAGGAGAGACAGATTGGCCTTCAGTTGTCCATGACTAATTTCCAAACACACTTGAAAGTGTATACAAATCTTTATTTTTCAACTCCCTTCCCCAATCAATTTTTTTGCAAAACCACTACAACAGCAGAAAGAGTTACCTCTATCCAACAGCAAAACACTTCCAATGTACATTGTACCACACGCATACTTAAAATGAGTTTGGAAACAAGTTTGCAGCCTCATATACAGAACTTTTCAAAGCACGAAACAGAAAAAGAATAGGAGAGACAGATTGAACTTCATTTGTAATCAACTGATTTCCAAACAAACTTAAAAGTGTATGTCAAGCAATAATGAAAATTTTCCAAATCTTCATTTTTCTACTCCCTTCCCTGATTCAAGTATTTTGCAAAACAATTCCAAAAGCAGAAAGACTTACCTCTCTCTAACAGCAAAACAATTCCACTATACATTGTAGCACGTGCACACACACACACACACACACACACGTAAAGTGAGTTTGAAAACCAGTTTGGAGCCTAATATATAGAACTTTCCAAAGCACCAAACATAAAAAGAATAGGAGAGACAGACTGAACTTCAATTGTACTCAATCGATTGCCAAACACACTTAAAAGTGTATGCAAAGCAATCTTGAAAATTTTGCAAATCTTTATTTTTCAACTCCCCTCCCTGATCAATTTTTTTGCGAAACGATTCCAACAGCAGAAAGAGGTGCCACAATCCAACTACAAAATGATTCCTATGTACAGTGTACCACACACAGTTAAATTTAGTTTGGAAACAAGTTTTGAGCCTCCCATACAGAACTTTCCAAAGCACCAAACAGAAAAAGAATATGAGAGACATATTGGACTCAGTTGTACTCAACTAATTTCGAAATATAATTAAAAGTGTATGCAAAGCAATCTTGAAAATTTTCCAAATCTTTATTTTTCAAATCCTTTCCCTGATTTGGAGCCTCACATATAGAACTTTCCGCAGCACCAAACAGAAAAAGAATAAGAGAGACCTAATGAACTTCAATTGTATTCAACTGATTTCCAACCACACTTAAAAGTGCATGCAAAGAAATTTTGAAAATTTTCCAAATCTTTATTTTTCAATTCCCTTCCCTAATCAAATTTTTTACAAAACAATTTAACAGCAAAAAAGAGTTTCCTCTATCCAACAGCAAGAAGATTCCGATGTCATTGTACCACACACATACTTAAAGTGAGTTTGGAAACCAGTTTGGAGCCTCATATACAAAGTATTCCAAGCACCAAATAGAAAAAGATTAGGAGAGGCATATTGGACTTCAGTCGTACTCAACTAATCTCCAAACACACTTAAAAGTGTATGCAAAGCAATTTTGAAAATTTTCTAAATCTTTATTCTTCAACTACCTTCCCTGATCAATCAATCTTTTTGCAAAACGGTTCCAACAACAGAAAGTGAGTTAACTCTATCCAACAGCAAAACGATTCCTATGTACATTGTACCACACGCACACTTAAAGTGAATTTGGAAATCGATTTGGAGTCTCATATACAACACTAAGCACCGAACAGAAAAAGAATAGGAGAGACAGATTGAACTTCAATCATGCTACTGATTTCCAAACACACTTAAAAGTGTATGCAAACAATCTCAAAAAATTTCCAAATCTTTATTTTTCAACTCCCTTCCCTAATTAATTTTTTTGCAAAGCGACTCCAACAACAGAAAGTGAGTTACCTCTATCCAGCAACAAAATGATTCCTATGTACATTGTACCACACTGTCACGCCCTTGTTTCTCGAACTTGGTTGTGTGCGACCTTAGCCTCTCGTGCGCCATTCACAACTAGCTAAGTCAGCCTCACCTCACTCGGGATCGTGCTCGGTGTGTGCAAGTGCTTTGGCTAGAGAAAGCGAGAAAAGAGAACTTGAAGGGAAAATGCTTCTATTACTCAAACTCTAGTACAAGTGAGCTCTCAAAGCTTGGATGGATTGCAAATGAGGGGGTCTCCTCTATTTATAGGCACCACCTCCTCTAAGGAACTCTCTAGATCCTACAAGGGTCTTGGTCTTTCTAGACCCTTCTACAAAAGTCTTCATCTATCTTCACATGTCCTAGAACCTTCTACATTATTCAAGATGATTCTTGCCCTTTCTACAAGTCTCTACAAGGTTCTAGGATGTTCTTGTCCCTACTACAAATATCTACATAATTCTGGAGCCTTCTAGAAGCTTTCAGTCAAGTCTAGGCCTTTCTAAAGGCTTCCATATACCAATAACTAGGCTTAGTGCGACAAAAAAGGCGGGCAAGACTCGTTCTTGCTCGTGTGCGTGCAGGGAGTGATGCGGGGCGTTACATTCTCCCCCACCTATTGTGGCGTCGTCCTCGTCGCCTCATAATCTTCAAGGATGTCACGAAATTGCCATAGGTCCTCCTCGAATTCCCATGATGCTTCGGACACTGGGAGCCCCTTCCACTTGATTAAGTACCGCTTCTTTGGTGATACCCCTCGTCTCCTTACAATGTCTGATGTGAGCACCTCATCTACTTCCTTGTCGAAAGACTTGGTTGTAAGGGGCGGTGCTCTCCGTGATTGCCCTCGGCTTGGGTCTTCCACATCCTTCTTGTAAGGCTTTAACATGCTCACGTGGAAGACTGGATGGATTTTGAGTGTTGGTGGGAGATTGACCCGGTAAGCAACATTCCCTATCTTCTTGATCACCGGGAACGGTCCCTCATATCTTCGTACTAGTCCCTTGTGCAAGCTCCGAAATGTCTTGAATTGTTGAGGCAATAGCTTCACAAAGACTAGGTCGCCTTGGGAGAACTCTCGCGGATGCCTCTTTGTATCGGCCCATTTCTTCATTCTTTTACGGGCCCTCTCCAAGTATGAGCGTGCTAAGTCGGCTTGTTCCTCCCAAGTTGTGATCATCTTTTCTGCCCCGGGACTCTTCCCATCCTTTGTAGGTAGGGCAATTGTGTGAGGAGTCAATGGTTGTCGTCCCGTGACCACCTCAAATGGGCTTCGCCCAGTTGATTCACTCCTCTGCAAGTTGTAGGAAAATTGGGCCACATCAAGCAGCTTGGCCCAGTCCCTCTGGTTAGCGCTTACAAAGTGCCGTAGATAGCACTCTAGTAACGCGTTTACCCTCTCTGTTTGCCCGTCGGTCTGGGGGTGGAAGCTTGTTGAGAAGTTAAGTTCGGTACCTAGGAGCTTGAAAAGTTCCGTCCAAAGTCGCCCAGTGAAACGCGGATCCCTATCACTCACAATACTCCTTGGTAGTCCCCAGTGCTTAACCACATTCTTGAAAAATCCACAGGCGGCCTCCTCGACAGTACAGTCCTTAGTGCATGGGATAAAGGTCCCATACTTTGAGAATCGATCCACCACGACCATAATTGACCCGTATCCCTCGGACTGTGGTAGGGCGCTAATGAAATCTAGCGTGATCGACTCTCATGGTCCTGCAGGTATTGGCAATGGCTCGAGTAGTCCCGCTGGATGCTTATTTTCGACCTTGTCTTGTTGGCACACGAGACAGGTCCTCACATAGGCCTCCACATCATCCTTTAGTTGGGACCAGAAGTAGTTAGACTCAAGTAAGGCTATCGTCCTCCGTTGTCCTGGGTGGCCTGCCCACTTGGTATCATGACACTCCTTCATGAGATCTCGTCGTAGTCCGTCCCACTTTGGCACAACTAGACGTCGCTCTTTTGTGTAGAGTAGACCGTCCTCTACCCAAAATCGTTAAGTCTTGCCTTCCTTTGCGAGCCCCATGAGCGCCTTCGTGACGGGGTCCCGTTCGAGCCCTTCTCGAATACGAGTAAGGACATCCCCGTCAGCTTTACTAATGGTGGCAAGTTCGGCCTTACGGCTTAGAGCATCGGCCACCACGTTGGCCTTCCCCGGTTTGTATTCCAACGAGTAGTCAAACTCAACCAAAAAGTCTTGCCATCTGGCTTGCTTTGGGGAGAGTTTCTTCTGGGTCTGGAAGTAGCTAGTGGCCACATTGTCTGTCTTTATGCTGAAGTGCGCCCCTAGCAAGTAGTAGCGCCACACCCTCAAGCAATGGATGATGGTCGTCATCTCCTTTTCTTGCACCGTATAGCGTCGCTCGGTGTCATTCAACTTTCGACTTTTGAACGCTATCGGGTGCCTCTCTTGCATCAATACTCCTCCAATAGCAAAGTCAGAGGTGTCAGTGTGAACCTCAAATGGCTTAGTGAAATCAGGTAATGCTAAGACAGGCTCCTGACTCACAGTGGTCTTGAGATCCTCAAATGCTCTTTGACACTCGTTGGTCCATTCCCACGGCTTCCCCTTCTTGAGCATGTCAGTAAGCGGTGCGGCCCTCGCCGAGTACCCTTTATGAACCGACGATAATAGTTGACCAACCCTAAGAAAGATCGTAACTCGGTAACTTTGGTGGGAGCTTCCCATTCCATGATTGCCTTCACCTTTGCCCCGTCCATCTGGATCCTTCCATGGCCTATAACATGCCCCAAGAAATTCACCTCTTCTTGGGCGAAAATGCACTTGGACTCCTTAACATAAAGTTCATTCTCCCAGAGTACCTTGAATACAGTACGTAAGTGGTCAGCGTGCTCCTCGAGCGAGTTGCTATATATAACGATGTCATCCAAGTAGACCACCACGAACCGATCTAAGTACGGATGGAATATCTCGTTCATGAGTGTACAGAAAGTAGCTGGGGCATTCGTGAGCCCGAAGGGCATCACTAACCATTTATAAGACCCATACCGCGTAATGCACGTGGTCTTGGGTTCGTCTCCCTCGGCGATGCGAACTTGGTAGTAACCCTTCTGTAAATCCATCTTGGTGTACACTCGGGCTCCCCCAAGTCGATCAAATAAGTCAGCAATCAAAGGAATGGGGTAGCGATTCTTGATAGTTACCTTGTTGAGTGCCCGATAATCTACGCACATGCGTATTGTTCCATCATGCTTCTTTTGGAAGAGTACGGGTGCGCCATAGGGGGCCTTGCTCGGGCGGATTTTTTCGGTCTCTGTGAGCTCCTTGAGCTGCCTCCTCAATTCCTCGAGCTCAGGGGGAGACATTCGGTAGGGGGACACAGCTGGTGGCTTGGTGCCTGGCTCCAACTCAATCTTGTGATCCACACTTCGCCTTGGTGGAAGCTTGCTTGGCAACTCAGCAGGCATGACGTCCTTGTTCTCCTCAAGAACTCCTCGGATAAGGGAGGGCACCTTCGGGGATTCCTCCTCATGGTTGTCCTCCTTTAGTATTGCCAAGTAGGTTGGCTCTCCTCGCTTTGCCCCCTTGGCAAGCTGCATCGCGGAGAGTTGCTTGCTAGCACTCTTGTTGTCCCCTTCTATAGTTGGAACCATGCATGGAGAGCCCTTCTCCAATATACAAACAGTACTAAAGGATGGCATGGGTATAGCTGTTACTTGTCGTAAGAAGTCCATGCCGAGTACCACCTTGAAGTCGTCCATGGGTGCTATTGAGAAATTCACGCGTCCTTGCCATGTCCCTAGGCGCAGACTCACGTTGCTAGCAATTCCGTCGAGTCGACGAGCATTGGCATTGACAGTCTTTAGCCACCTAGTTTTCTCGGACCAAGATAGTCCTAACCTTGCGGCTTCCTCCTTGGTAATGAAGTTGTGACTGGCTCCTGTATCCACCAGAGCCTTTGTCGGAGTCCCGTTAATATGCGCTTCCACGTACATGAGCCCCTTGCTAGACGTGATGCGCTCGGGCTTGGTATTGAGGGCATTGAGGACTTGCAACGAACCTATTATTGTTGGCTCTGCCTCCTTAGTCTCAGTCTCGGACTGCTCCATGATGGCTGAGAGGGACCCTAGCTTTGGATAATCCTTCATGGCATGTGGCCCCTTGCACACGAAGCAGCCTCCCTTAGGGACAAATGCCTGTTTCTTCTCCTCGTAGCTGCGGCGTCCGAAATTTCGATCCTCCTTGGTCGGCGCTCGTCGCTGGTATCGAGAGTCTCGGTTCTTGTTGTCCCTTTTATCTCCCCCACCTTTGGCGAGATACTTCTTGTCTTTCTTGGTGGCATCGGAAGATGAGGATGGGCGGAACTCTATTAATGACTCGCCAGCGACGATTGCATCATCGACGGTCTTGACGCCCCGACGTTGTAGCTCTTGCTTTGCCCAATGTTGGAGTCTGTCCACAAAGAAGAAGAGCGAGTTGTCCTCTGTCATGCTGGGAATCTGGAGCAAAAGGGTGGTGAATTCTTTGACATAGTCACGGATGGTCCCCTTCTGCTTCAGCTCCCGCAATTTCCGTCGAGCCTCGTACACCACGTTCTCCGGATAAAATTGTCGCTTGAGTTCTTTGACAAAGTCCTCCCATGTATCTATCCGGCACATGCCTCGCTCGATTATCGCCGTGCTTCCTGCGCCACCATAACATAGCAGTATCGGAAAGATAAAGGGAAGCAGTCTTTACCTTGGTAGCCTCGTCCGTGAGATTTATGCCCTCAAAATATTGTTGCATCCTCCATAAGAAGTTGTCCACCTCTTTGGCGTCCCTTACGCCATTGTAGCCTATCGGCCTCGGACACTCCACCCTTGGTGCGGGCGTGGAGTTGCTAGCCTCCCCACTAACAATCGTCTTCTTGCAAACAGTGAGATCCTCACGCATCCCCTCGATGCTTGCTTGGAGATCCTTCACAAGGTCCTCCAAGTGATCCAAGCGGTCCTCTGTGGAGCTTTGTGCATCGAGCCCCTCTTGGACGACACCTTTGACGGACTCGATTTCCTCCAAGACGTGTGTCTCCAACGTTTTGAAGGTGAACTCGACCCTTTCGAGTTTCTTGGACATTTCCCCAACGACTTGGTCTAACGGCGAGACCTCCGCATGAGCTCGGCTTTGGTCCCGACGTTTCTTGTCCTTGGTCTCGGTGGTGTGTTCCCGCCCTCGGGTTTGCTCTTCGCTTACACCTGACCCGGACGCATTATGTTCCTTCTCACCTGCCATACTTACACGGTACCGAGCATTGCTCTGATACCACTTGTCACGTCCTTGTTTCTCGAACTTGGTTGCGTGCGGCCTTAGCCTCTCGTGCGCCCTTCACAACTAGCTAAGTCAGCCTCACCTCACTCGGGATCGTGCTCGGTGTGTGCAAGTGCTTTGGCTAGAGAAAGCGAGAAAAGAGAACTTGAAGGGAAAATGCTTCTATTACTCAAACTCTAGTACAAGTGAGCTCTCAAAGCTTGGATGGATTGCAAATGAGGGGGTCTCCTCTATTTATAGGCACCACCTCCTCTAAGGAACTCTCTAGATCCTACAAGGGTCTTGGTCTTTCTAGACCCTTCTACAAAAGTCTCCATCTATCTTCACATGTCCTAGAACCTTCTACATTACTCAAGATGATTCTTGCCCTTTTTACAAGTCTCTACAAGGTTTTATGATGTTCTTGTCCCTACTACAAATATCTACATAATTCTGGAGCCTTCTAGAAGCTTCCAGTCAAGTCTAGGCCTTTCTAAAGGCTTCCATATACCAATAACTAGGCTTAGTGCGAAAAAAAAGGCGGGCAAGACTCGTTCTTGCTCGTGTGCATGCAGGGAGTGATGCGGGGCGTTACAACACGCACACTTAAAGTGAGTTTGGAAATCAGTTTGGAGCCTCATATACAACACTTTCCAAAGCACTGACGATAAAAAGAATAGGAGATACAGAATGAACTTCAATTGTACTCAACTGATTTCCAAACACACTTAAAAGTGTATGCAAAGCAATCTTGAAAATTTTCCAAATCCTTATTTTTCAACTCCCCTCCTTAAACATATTTTTTGCAAAACGATTCCAATACCAGAAATAGTTACCTCTATTTAGCAGCAAAACTTTCGTATTTACATTGTACCACACGCACACTTAAAGTGAGTCTGAAAATCAGTTCAGAGCCTCATACACAGCACTTTCCAAAGCACAAAACAGAAAAAGAATAGGAGAGACGGATCCGACTTAGGTTGTACTCAACTGATTTCCAAACACACTTAAAAATGTATGCAAAGCAATCTTGAAAATTTTCCAAATCTTTATTTTCTAACTCCCTTCCGTGTTCAATTATTTTTCAAAACAATTTCAACAGCAGAAAGAAAGATTTACCTCTATCCCCTTCTCTTTGTACCATTGAGGCTGCCTCTCTCCACCGTATTCAACACAGGTGTGAAAACAGAAAAAGAGTAGGAAAGACGGATCGGGCTTCAGTTGTACTCAACTGATTTCCAAATACATTTCTAACTTAAAAGTGTATGCAAAGCAATCTTGAAAATTTTCAAAATCTTTATTTTTCAAATCCCTTCCGTGATGAAATTATTTTTCAAAACAATTCCAACAGCAGAAAGAAAGAGTTACCTCTATCCCATTCTCTTTGTACCACTCTGGAGGCTGCCTCTCTCCACCGGATCCAACACAGGTGTGAAAACCCTAAAAAGGCATATATAGGAACTATCACTGACAAGAAACCACAATGTGAAGGCAGGGAACAACAATACAGAACGGCAAAATAGCATAATAACATAATCAATTGCAAAATATTTTAGCACAATACCACCAAAGCGTTATTCTACTAAGTCAGGTCCGTTTCGTTACATGCAATCGCGGAGTATTTTAGTAACTGAGGAAAAGATTTCTTACAGGAAGACGCGCTGGTTTCTTATCCGGCGGGAACAAATACGCTTTCGTCAGAGCGGGACGCTCGTAAGGTGCATATGGCTGATTCATCGAATTCAAATAGAAAATCATGAATAACAAGAAAGAAAACCGATCACGTTCAAGATCCAAATAACGAAACAGAAATTGCCACAATGAAGCTAGATACTATAACACCTCTTTGGTCACAATACAGAGCCGTCCATCCGCCATGCCGTGCTCCACGAAAGTGCGTGCAGCATATCCCGCGGAATTTCCACCGCCAACGATAACGTATCTGCGCCAACAGGAAAAAAAAAATCAAAATCGCGTAATAACTAAAATTGAGAAAAATAAAAACGACGAATGAATTTATAGAAGCGGTACTCGCGATTCTCATTGGCGAACGCGGCGTAGCATCTTCTGAATTTAATGGAAGTGGAAGAAGGAAGAACTGGAGTGCGAAAGGGATTTTGCGGACGCGCGAGATAGAAACCGTGTTTGAGTGAGAATGAGTTGGATATCGCGGCCATTATGAGTCTGCGTGCTGTGAAACAGAAAACGGTTAGAAAATGACAGTGCAATGCAATCAAATACTCTTGCGCTAGAGGTTGAGTACCTGAAGGAGAAGGCATGGATGCGTTTATAGGTTAAGGTTATTATAATAATGATGATTTAATCATTGAAGGGCAAATGTTAGTGTTACTTAGTGGCTCTAGGAGACGACGAAGGGACATGACGACTGTCCAATTTTATAAGTTTATGCTATTGGAGATGGTCTAATGTGTTGCGTTCCCTATGTTCGTTATGCCGGTACCCAATGGTGCTTTTTCCTCCCAACAGAGTAATACGACGTCGTATGGGACTAGAGCATTTTGTTTCCGTATTGGGCCCAGCCCGTTTTGTAGTCACTTGTTCCCCTGGTTGTACACACAACTCTTCAGCTAATACAATAAGCATTCCCTTTTTACTATTTGAACCGTCCGATGTTCTTTTCAATTTTTTGTAAAATATGGAGAAACTTCACTTTTATCTCTCCTAGTATTATGATAAATGTCACTCCCGTTTTTAGTTTAAAATACATATTCATTTTGTGTATATTTATAATGAAATATTCACCCCTTTAGTTTTCAAAAAAATATTTATTTTTTTATTTTTTTTGAATGATATTTATTTATTTTATAATTATAATAGAGTGACATTATTTTTTATTTTAAATATTATATTAATTATAATTAAAAAAAATTAAAAACTAAAGTTTTCAATGTAGAAAACTATAAACAAAAATAATGCACAATATCTTAAATATACAAAATTATGGATTTGAAGACTAACTCTGGTTGAATAATGACTTGACTTACTAAAGGTAACATCATTTTTCAGACATTGTTATGTTTGAAGAAGTCCTTTCACTTATACATAGATACCTTAATTTTAAGTTTATCTCAATTGATCCTTAAACTATGTCCTATTGACAAATACATATCTTCAAATTTAATTCTGTTTGAATTAATCCTGAAATTTTACTATTTTATCAAATAAACACCTAATTTTTAGCTTGATTCTAATTAATACTTAAAACTTATCAATTTTTTTATGAATATATTTTTAGAAAAGTTTATTTAAACTGGATCTTAATATAAAAAAATGAGAAAATTAATAAAAATGTTTTAAAATTTATATTAGATTCTATCTTTAAAAATAAAACAAAAATTAATATTGGTCATACTTCTGTCCATTCAGGATACGTAGATCTAAAATCTCTTAATTATTGTTCTACTATCAAATTCAAACACATGTTTTATTTGATTTAGAGAAGTGGAAAATGAGATTGAAATTATTTGGAGAGAAAAGAAGATTAAAAAAAATAGTAAAAGAATGACCGATGTATATAAAATTGATTTGATCAAGGTGATAAACATGGATATTTATTTTTTTAATGTATAATATTATATTTATTTAAAAATACAAAAATTTTAGTATAATTTATTTTTACACTCACAATCTATATAAATCACTCACTTTCGCAGTATTTTATTTTAACGTTGTCTACAAATCATCTTAATCAAATTCATTTAAATTGTATGAAATTATTATTTATTAATTATAAGTCCCTAATGCATACAAAATGTACATGGTTATTCAGGCCAAAGAAAACTGATTTTTTTTTTGTTATGTATTTTTTACTAATGAAGCTTGTAACTAACATGATAAAATAATAATAATAATAATAATAATAATAATAATAATAATAATATTGTTTTCCAGTGTTAAATATGTTACAAAGATTTTCTGAAAAAAATAAATAAATAAAGAAGTAATGGTCTAATGTCAGGTAATGTCTTGCACGTCTAATTAGCCACCCGGTTGATATAAATAATTGAATTTGAGAATCCTTAGTTGCAGGAATGTAAGAGTCCAGTTTCTAAAATCACTACCTGTCCGTACCTTTTTTTCCGTTTTCATTTAAAATCATTATTTTTTATCACTCTACGTTTCAAATTCAATACAGTTTTTAGTTGCTCTATGTGTCAAATAATCTTAGGGCTAAGTCCGTATAGGAATTAAGCAATTTTGTTTAATATTCCAGTTAATTTATTATTTTTTGAAGTCTATTTTATTTTTTAATAATAAATTTTAGTATGTTTATAAATCATTATGCTAAGAAAATTGTACTATAACTATTGGTGTTTTTATTTCTAAAATATTGTTTTTTATTATTTTAATATATATATATATATATATATATATATATATATATAAATAAGTTGAAAAGGAAGAAAAATTTAACCAATTATCCATATTTAATCAAAATGATTTAACTCGAAATCATTTTAGAAAATAATAAATTTGTAGTATTAATCATAGTATAAATAAAAATTTATGAATTTTCTTTTTAAAATTATAAAATTTAAGGTCCATTAGAACAAAATTAAATTGTCTATTTGTAAACAAGACAAATTTGAAATACTTATTTCTATAAAAAAAATAGATAAAAAGCATCAATACTAAGAAAGGGACGTACAAAGGGTATAATTTTAAGGCAGTGCTGTAAATGTGTGGATTCAATAAATACAAAACATCATGATATTCAAAGCGATAAATATTGGATTTATAGTTTAATAGTTGGTTCGTCAAAGGTTTTCTAATCAAGGATAGGTTGGAAAATATAGGTATTGATAAATCACAAACAAATAATCTGTTGCAGACAGTATATCATAAGTACGAAATGAATACAAAATATAAAAAAATTCAAAGATGACTAATGGTAAGACAAATGTATATAATTTAAATAATATTAAAATATTTTGAAATAAAGCAAAAAAAATCCAACAACTGCTTAACGGTGCAGAATAAGTAATTAAAATAAGAGAAAATGTAAGCGTATAATATATATAAAAGTTTTTAAAAGTAATGAAAATAGTTAATTCAATTAATTGTTTTTAAAAATACAAATAATTTAATTAATTTTTTCCAAAAATATTATCAGTGACGTTGAAGTGAGGAGGTTGTGTCAGTGAGCGTTACAGACTTATCGTAAAGTTTGCCACAAAAAATATGGGAAGAAAAAGAAGTGCGGAGGAAGAGATGATAAATGTGAAAAGACAAATTGACCAGTCATCACAAATTAGTGAGTGAAGAAGCGAGGTCCTTCGGAGGGAAGGAAACAAAAAAGAAGGGAAACCTAAAATACCATGTACTCCGGTAGTTAATAAGATTAACATTTTCCTTAGACCACTAGGCTTTAACGTAGCTGGAAAAGAATATAAACTTAACCCCAAAAGGTTGAAGATCTATACGGTTAAAAGGGGAAAAAATAAAATTTTTACACGGTGGGTGCAGATAACTTCCCAGCTTGGTCCAAGACGACGAGAAACTCGGTCCTGCTCCTGACAACCCTGTGAAAGACCTCCCTAATCTGCTGCTGCATGGGTTCCAACCCTTCATCCATTCTTTTACAAATCTCGCCCAACTCCTCCACTTGTTTCTTCACCTCATCCAAACGCTCCGTTTCGGGGGGAAACTGAAACGACTCAGCGAAATCAACCAGGGACTGTCCAAGCTTCTCCATCCTCTGCATCTCCTCCAACAACCCAACGTTTCCCTTCTTCTCCTTCTTTTTCCACTCCTCCGCGATCTTCTCCTGCAAACTGATCATGGGCTGGGCCCAGGCTAATTGCCTCGGCAGCGGAAAATGCGTCCCTAAACCATTCCTCTCCTGGCATGGAACCGCCGCCACCAAAGCCCACATCACGAACACCAGCACAGTGCTCATTATGTAAATAGGCTGCGCCAATCCGGACGCCTCCGCGCCACGTGGCGCATTCAGATTCGACATCATCGCGTGGATCTGCTTCGCCGCCGACCAGTTCCGCGCCATCGTCCACGACAGCGACCGTACGCGGTCCTTGCTGTTCGAACCGGCGTTGTTCCCGGAGCGCCGCCCGAAGGAGCGGTTGCGCTCTGTCCCCTTCGCGTTGGCGTTGTCCTCGTGCAGCATGGCGGCGATGAGGCCGGCGAGTGCCTTCTTAGCGCGACGGACCTGGCCGTCGCCTAGCGGCGTCGTGTCGAGAGCGGCCACGGCGATCTCGGCGAGGCGCTGGAGGTTCTTCACGGCATCGAGGCCGAGGGTGACGGCGTTGCAGATGTCGAGGGATTTGACGACGCGGTCGAGGAACTCCGGGAGGAGCTTGTCGAGTGGGGGCTTAGCGATTTGAGAGGGGTCGCGGCCCATGAGCATGACCGCTTTGAACTCGGCCTCGCAGCAGAGGAACTCGTCGAGGAGTCGGCGGAGCCAGGAGATGGAGAGGAGGGCATCGCCGGAGGAATCCTCCGTGGTGGAGGACAAGAGTTCGGAGAAGCGGTCGGCTACGTGCTTCTGAAAAAGTTCGAGGTCTTCCATTTCTTGGTCGTGGGTTCCGTCCATGGACAGCACTTGATTTCTACGGATGCTTATTCGGCCCAAAAATGAGCCTTGGTTGTTCTCCGTTGTTGCAGGCATTTTTTGCTTCGGGAGTGGGTTAGGGGTCAATGAAGAAAACACGATGATGAGAAAATAGGAAGAAGATGGAGAACAAGTCAAGAGGACAAAGAAAGGGAAGGTGCAGAAGATAGAGCGTCAGTTTTGGAAGTTATTCATGCGCGAATTTTAAGCTTTGCACCACAACTATTCTCTTCTTTTTCTTTTTCTTTTTTTTCTTTTTTTAGTCTATGTATGCTCATACCCTTTTTTTCCCACATTGTCCTTCCCTATTCTCCCGCAATTACAAGACTGGAACTGGACTCATTTATTAGCCACGGTTTCATGTTTTCTTTTGTTGCCAAATCAAGATTATCATTTTACATCTGTGACTAAAAAACAACCTAGAGAGAGACTTGGATAAACCCGGTTCCATTTGCCTCACCCAATCTATTCAACTTCGTTGACTTATCATGTCTTTTCCTGAATCCATGGCTCTCGGGGTCTTGGTAAAATCTTTCTATTTAAATTTTAAGTTAATACTTTTTTATTTTACTGCATTGTTGACGGTGTTTACACTTCTTTTTCTGCTTGTAACGTTTTTAGTATTTTGTCTCGTTACGACGCACGCAATCCTTGACGGTGGAAGCAGTTTCTTATCAGATGACACGCATTGTGGTATTATTAATTAGACTTGATATAGTAAATTAATGCAGATTTGCAAGTTATGAAAAAAATTCAACACATAAGTTTGTAATTCTCATCGACTCATAAAGAGTTACAAGATTGACAGATTCTGTTTCTATTTCATCACCTAGGAGATACAGATTTTGTTTTTTATGATTTTCATACTTCCGTCAGTTTTTTTTTTATTTGGATTTAGTTAGAAGTTTTTTAATGATCAATATTTAACTCAACATACACATTTTGTGTATTCCTAAAAGGTCTTTCATGAAGACCTAATATTTATAAATACATGAATAAATATTTTGAATAAATGGAACATCTTCCTATTATAAATATTTTTGAAGTTAAAATATACTAAAATGTACATTTTAAAATTAGATAACATTATCCATTTTAAGTATATAAATAAACTTCAATATTTCTATTTTATTTTCTAAACCTTAAATATATTAAATATATAAAAATATAAAAGTTTTGATTTACATAGAAATTAAATTTTTTTACTAATAGATTAATGTATTCTTTAAAAATAAGTAAATGTTCTCATTCGATGTATTTATTGTTTAGTAATTAAAAAAAATATTGTTTTTATATTTTAAAAATTCTATTATTATTTATACATTTATAAAATAATATTGTATATTTGTATTAAATGAGTGAAAATAGATCTTTTGTTTCTCATCGTATATATTCTTTATTATTGTGTGTTAATAGTTTTGTCTTTATTTAGTATGACCTTACACAATGATGATGAAGAGGAAAGATAAAACTAAGAAATTTGTTTTTATGATGTCAAGGTAATTAGAATAGTTAGTTTGTATAAAGTCAAACAAACCAAACTTTGAATAATTAAATATGTAAAAATAACACGCTATAATCGATTAGATAAAGGGATAATCGATTATATAATTTAAAATTAAGTTTTCATAAAACACACTAATAATCGATTATGTGGTTCACCTAATCCATTATTTGTCAAAAATTTTGTTTTAATATAATGTGCTACTAATCGAATAGATAAAGAGTTAATCGATTATATGACTTAAAATTTAGTTTTCATAAGACACGCTAATAATCGATTATGTGGTTACTTAATCAATTATTTGTCAAAAATATTGTTTTAATACAATGTGCTAATAATCGATTACGTAAACACTTAATCGATTATCTGACAAATTTCAAACTACTGCTAATCGATTATATGTAATAGTTACAACAATTTTCTTTTTATAAAAGGTTACAAACTTTCTTTCATCAATATCAATCTTCAAATACAAATACAAACAATTAGAAATAACGTTTTGTGCATTAAGGAAAGAGCACAATTCTGCAAGAGATTTTAAAGTTCAATTTCAAAGAATGGTTGTTTGGCTGTAGGTGCATAATTCTATAAATCCAAGGTGAATTCGTTTCATTTATTTCTTTCATATATTGTACTTAAATTTTGATGTATGTGAGACTAGCTACATCAAGATAACTTGAAAATTGTGAGGTAGAACATTTTCAAGTGTGTGATCTTGATTATAGGTTGTTGTTAATCAATATCATTTAATTAGATTGTAAATTTGTTATTAAATGAAAAACTTTAGACTAAGGTTGTTTGGTTAAAACTATATGTAAATTCAAGAAGAATCGAATCAGTATAAATTTGTGTGTCTTTTCTTCTTTTTTCTATCTTGGTATACTGATTTTTTATAAACTGTGATAATTCTTTCATAATTAATTATCAAAAAAATTTCTTTAATTAATTGATTAGAAATTCAAAAGATTTTTTAAAACTCAATTCACCCCTCTTAGAAAAGTTATGTCATTAACATTTTACTAACACACAAGTCTCTAAAACTAAGTTGATTGATGTTTTTTTTATATAAGAAAGACTTTATAAAATGCATAGTGACGTTTGAGATATATGTGAAAACAAGTAAACACAAAAATTTGTTTCTCATATGTATGTTTATATGTAAATGATTCAATTGTAATCGGGAATGTGCATGCTAAGATTTAATAATTCAAAGAAGAAATTAAATCAAAAATTAACATGTCAGATTTAGATATTTTCAATTATTTTCTTTGTCTCAAATTCAGGTGCACTTATAAGGGATTATTTCTGCATAAAAAAAAAATTAGATCTTTGAGGTCCTGAATAGGTTCAATAGGGAGAATTATAATCCAATTTCTACACCGGTGATAGGAGACTTAAAGCTAATTGAAGAACTTGATGCACAACCAGTAGATACAACTATGTTAAATAGACTGTAATGTCACTCAGATTTTTATATAACAACAGGTCAGATAGTAATTATGGAGTTGACTTGATTAGCAGGTTTATGCATAATCTTAGAATATTTCACATGACAACTAAACATATATTGATATATTTGAGAGCTATGACTGGCTATGGTCGTTATTCTTAAAAGGAGATAAAGAAAATGTAGGTATATTTAAAGTGTTTTTTTTTTTTAATTATAACGTATTATGAACTTCTGTTCATAATTTTTATTAAATGGGAAATATTCTTTAATAATTAAAAAAGAAATACATTTTTTATTTTATTATTATTATTTTGTACATATACTAATTATATTGGGTGAGTGAAGAAATCGTTTATTTCTCAACATATATTTATTCTTTGTTATCGTGTGTTAATAGCTTTGTCCCCAATATTATTCAATTAATTATGCCGTAGATCAATCATAAATTTATAAGAGATAAATTAAAAAACAATATTTATTGTCTTTAAAATACATTGATGACATGTTTAAGGAAAATAAGAGGGTGATTCACTGGTGAACCTCAATTTGATATTATTTTAACTTTAGTTACCGTTCACATGTTGGCTCTAAACCAAAAAATATAAGTTCTTAACTTTAGAAAAAAATAAATCTCAATCTAATATTTAGCGTCCGTATTAAATTTTGGTTATATTTTTGAAATTATTCTATTAATATTTTATTCGAATTATTATTGTTATTTTATTTTTCTTATTTCAATCATTTTCAAAACATATGATGTTTATGATTAGGTCAAACATATAAAAATAAATATTAATTTTTATTATATATAATAAATTTACAATTTTTTATTAATGTTTTTTTTAATTAAAATACTCTTAAATAAATTGTTATTTCTTCTCTAGATAATACATATAATTAAATAAAAGAGTTAAACTTTATATCATTATATATTTAAAAATATAATTTTTTACCCAGTATATTTTAAAAGAAAGAGAATATTTCTATTTATTAATAATGCATGTTGTTGGATTACAATCGTTTATTTCTCATGCAATATTAGGACACTATTAATATCATTAGATTATTCAAATAAATTATTAAATTTCATAATTATTTAATAATATTTAAATAATAAAATTTTACTGATAATATTATTCCGTTTTATTTCGTGTTGTATTGTGGTGCTCAAAACTAATAAGTATTATTAATCATCGAAATTTATGATTTTGAAATAATACGTGAAAAACATTATGTAAATTTATATCTCGTTCCTTTTAAAATGGTTTTTTAGATGAAGCACAAAACATAACATACATTTTATTTCATAATAGTGGACATTTTGCTTTTTATAAAACTCATTTATAAAATAACAAAATGGTCAATTATTTAAGTCCAAATGTTGGAGATCATTGCCCAAAAATATGTGTTATTAAGTCCAAAAAAAGATATGTACGAGTTCTTAGAGACATAAAAAAAGAAGGAAAAAAAATAGAGTCAGATTCAGGCCCAAACAAATGGGTCCAGTCCTTGATCATAGGCCCACTACGGCAGAGTGAACAGTTCCACTTGAAATCCATTGCATAAAAATTGAGCAATTGGGTTCCTGACAAATAAAAAGTGGATCCAAAAGTTATGATAATTGGACAAGAAGCTCCAGTGTCAAGTATTTGGGTTTTCTTTATTTATTTTATCTTTTCTTTCTGAATATTTTTTCGTATGCAACTGTAAGCATAAAAATTACCTCCCATCATCAATAATTTTATATAAACAAATATTTTTTAATTCAATAATTTTTTATCATCATATTTATCAATATGAAAAAATAATCAATATTCTAGTGTATATATATATATATATATATATATATATATATATATATGTTTACAATTATTTATTATAAAATTTCATTATACTTTAATTTGTATATTTATATTTGTTATTGTATTTTAATTATATAAAACAAATAGTTATTTGTACAGTTTACATTCTAAAATACATTAGAAAAAAAAACTCCAAATCCTCATTTCTTACTCAAAAGTATTACGAATTAGATTGATTAAATTATTTTAAACACTGGTCCTATGTATGAGTCTTACTCAAAATTCAAAATTTTGTTTTAAA